AATTTAATTGCATGCCTCGTCTGCGTAGTGCAGTGATAGAATGAACATGAATTTATTGCCCCATGCCATATGCTCTGGCTACCATGCTTAAAAAACTATGCCGTGATGGAGTGTATAGGCTTTGCATGGTTATTATCATCATGACGATATTAGATAGCAAAATTCATAATTACTACTGGTGTCGACTATTCCCCTAATTTGGCCGAACATCCTGCTACCAATGTTTTTTATCTTCACTCAGGCCTGGCTTCATGAGGGCGCTGATGTTAGTGCTACGCTTAAGGGAGGGCTCCATTCTCAGCGCGGGGCCCCCATGCAGCAGCTTCGTCTTTTTAAATTCCCATACGTCCGGTAGGAGGACATGGCGCCCGCTGGGTTTCGCATCATTGCGACCATACGTGCGCACAGCAAATGTGAATCTTGATTTTCAAATTTATAGAATATGTTCATTCTCTGTTTCTGCTGTGATAATATATATTAATTAATGGTTTGCATCATGGGACTACACATGTATATTATAAATCATGTATAGTGCATATATATGTGTAGTCCCATGATGCATCATGTATCTATATATATATATATGCATGCACATGATATCGAATCCTATTTGTGTGCACTTATAACTGACAAGCTCCTAAGGATCACCACCCGGCTGGTGTTGCTGTGGATGATCGCAACCATTCGGTGCGTATTCATTCTCAACGAGCAGCCGTTGAGCTCATGTATGATCTGGTTCCCATACATTATCTACTTCCAGAAGCTGATGAAGAAATTGAGCATCCCATGGCTCAGAGTATCAATGTGCATGTCTCAGTTTTGTGGTTTTGGGCATCCTGGGAATGGGTGAGAGCTTAATTCGATATATGTCTGAACAACATGAGGGCAGTGCACATGCATGCATAATACCGATCTATTACATTATAACATGATTAATCAGTATGCATGCATTTGCATTTTGCTTTTTTGACTGGTCGCTTCCCACCATCCCCCTGCTCAGGAACATGTGCGTGTTTGGAGCCTTGTCGCTGAAACCAACGCAGCTCTTTGGCACATCGTACTGGCCTCAATGCGGGAAGAGTTTTGTCGCGAAATACAATTTATTTATTTATTTATAGATGGACCTTCGGTTACAATCTTATACCACAAAGTGTTATGATGTTGAATAATTCAAATTAATCAAGCCATGAACCAAACAATATAATACACGCATGCATATATGCTGGCTGATGAAATTGGAGGCACCAGAATAAATCAAAATGGTGTCGTTTTTCTGCATAGTTTCCCATCAAAATCTTTATTTGTGATAGTAGAGTTTCATGCATCCAGAATCCAAAATTTCTGGTCAAATGCACCATCATATCTATTTTAATATGATCAGTTCACGCATACACATGCATCAGTTTGAAGCCTTGCTGAGGCCATATATGCAAGGATTTGAAAAGAAGGCTTCAAAGGCTCTGCGGGCCAAGTTGGCTTCCAACCAGAAGAAATCCAAAAAGCCTTTGGTGAAGAAAGGAATCAACAAAAGAACTGGGAAGACACAAGTGTCGCTTTCTTACTCCTGAGTGGTGCTACTGCTCAATGTGTTTCAAACCTCAACGTGTGAATGATATCGACCAAATCATACCACCAGCACCATGCTCAATTTAAATTTGGGGACAACATTGGCCAGCTAAGGTCAGGGGCTGCAGGTTTGAAAGCATCGCAAACCTACCCACCTGGTTATGGAACGCACATGGCAAAGCTCCACAAGAAGTACACAGTGGTTTTCTCAGGATCCAAGGGTCACTGCTATAGTTATATATATATATGCGATGTGAGTATATGCATTTTATATATATATATATATATTAAAATATTTATAATATAAAATATATTTATATATTTATAATATTGTTTTCCCAAAACAATCGCCATCGTCATCACCATTGTGAAAAAGCATTTATCAACCACATCATGGTTGAGAACTGATAATTAACTGATTCCTTTGGCATTGAATTACTATAAAACCTGATCATGATAATGCGCACCAGTTCACGGTCCCACCATCATGATAGTACACAGCAGTTCACCATCCCACCGCATTTGCCCAGGCTGAGAACAAACGCCATCCAAATCCTTTGCGCCATGCGCTCTATGCGAGTGGCCTGGATCTGGCTGCTGGTGGAGTCTTCAAGGCTAAGCTCTTGAAATGATGCAGTGGAAAATGAAACCCATTGACCTATGTATGTTTTCTCATGATGATATCGTGAAAAAATGATCAGTTCACAATTATGATATCGTAATAATAACAATTAATATATTGTGATTATCATAGATTGTTGTCATCATTCTTGCGTCCGTTTTTGCGGGATGGGTAATACCTCGGATGGCTAATACCTAGAGGGGTTGAAAGTCTTTGTGGGCAGTTTTTTTGCGATTGTCCTTTTATCCTGTTTTTTGATCCCAAAAAGGTTAAAAAACACTCACCAAAAATAACCCATGAAGACTTTCAACTTGTAATTTTCCCGTTGGCTTCCCCAAAAAGCCAAAAACAGCCAAAAAGGAACCCCCCCCTGGGGGGGTGGGGGGGGGTTCCTTTTTGGCACCTTTATTTATGGAGGTTTTCTTTAGTGGTGGTGGCAAACCAACGGGAAAATTGATACTTTCAACCTTTGCTGGTATACATCGATCCATGCTATAGTCGAATTTATTGATGCTGATCCAATACAAACCAATTCTCAGTGTGGTCGATAATCAATGCGTTTCAATGCCATCATGTTTGTTTTAATAATTACTCATGGGACTACAATGGGTTCCTCGATGTACAGTATCATGTATATAAAAATAATTTATTATTATAAAATTATATAAAATGATCGTGAAATTTTCATATAAAATTATACATGGTATCGATTCACATATATTTTACATATATCATATCGCCGCTTGCCGAAGGCACCATACATGTGGCGCCATGCGTCCCTCGAAAGCGTGAAGCTTTTTCTGGTGGAGGAGACAAAGAGTGGCAGATTTCACCCGCAATTCAGTGGGGGCCTGGACCTATAAATGATGATGGGTCTAGATCTAATTTAATTCGTAATTGGCTTTTGTAAAAGCCACCCAGCTCGAGCTTTCACCCTTTCAACCATGGTGCCTCATCAAATGCTTCAGAACATAGCTTCTGGAGGGTGCTGCCTGTGCATGATGTGGGCGGAAATTGTATATAAATCAGTCGTTGAACCACATCATCTTTTATAACAACTTCTGATGAAATATGGCGGGACATATATCCATCGATTCATATATATTATAATTATATTATATAATTATATTATTTGTGTCATGGTTTATGTACCACCCAACCACCAGTTAAGCAGTAGTACTATAGATATGTCAGGGTTTGCTGGCCCCACATGCACAGGTTGGTTTAATTTGGATTGGTCGAGCGCCCACCATGTGTTTCTAGCTTGTGTTGAACCAAGACCCTACCGTGAAAAAAGCGTGAATTAGCGTGAAATAACCGTGAACGACCATTTCTAAGCGTGAACGACCATTTTTTATCGTGAACGACCATTTCCCCAAAAATGAGCATTTTCAGAATAATCAAACTGATACCTAGTTTGTCACGCTTGGAAATGGTCATTCAAGGTTCAAACAAAGACCGTGCAAAGAATGCAAATCACATCCAGTGATTGTGTGTAGACCATGTGCTATCACATGGTTGCAGTGGTTCTTCCTCACGTTCACACCAATTAAACTAATTGGCTCAATGCACTTAGATTTTTGGGAATCCCGAGAGATGGCGGACGCCGTGCAGAAGGCTTTGCAAAAGGCTTCAGCCCGGGCAGCCCGGCTTGCTGAAGCTAATGCTTCAGCCGGTAAAGATGCTGATGGTGCCCCAGAGAAAGAAAGTAAAGAAGATAAGCGATTGCGTGAAGCAAAAGAAGGTTCAAGGACTATTACGGTATAGCTGAGCTGTGTTTATATTATATGATGAAGTATGCATGCATGCATGTATTATGCGATTTATCTTTGTTCAGATATGCATATATTATATAAGATGTATATTTAGATATGTATACATTACGCATGATGCATGTTTGTATGTCATACAAGTACCTGCACGTATGTATATTTTCAGCTGATGCGAGGTTGCAATATGATTGTAATTACGTAATGAAGCGATGTATCAATTGGAATATGTAAAGTATGGTTGCATGTTTTGTTCGTCTGTCATGTGTGGCTATCTCTGTTATATGTATATATTGTAAGTCAACTTTGTAGTCCAAAAAAATACCCCTACTGGGCCATGGGGATATTTTTTGGACCCTGGAGGTGTGCATGTACATAGTATGTATGCGTGCATACATGCATGTTGGTCCCGTATATCATTACGAATCTTTGCATTTCTGCAGGATAAAATGTATTATAAAAGAATAGTATTATTATTATGCGTGTATAATATATATATTGAAGTTATTAGACACACATATATATTATTAAAATTTGTGTTTGACTTTATTGCATGCATGTACAGAGGTTTGTACAGCAGTGAACGAACACAATGATGTTACACTGTAGGTTTACAAGGTAAATAGGATATTGGGTGCAAATCAGTGAATGTTATCTGTGTATGCCAAATTGCATGTGGTTCGTGAATGTGTTCATGCATGCATGCACATATATGCATACAAACATAGGTTTTTCAATAAATATATGTTATGGTATAGATCTATTAGATGATCGTATTCATCAATTATCGTTGCAGATAAAGTGACATATCGTATCATAGTGAAATATATATTATTATTATATATACATGTTCAAATTTCAACATGAAGCTCGTTCATCTGAGAACCGGCCTATATTATAGTACATGCTAATTTTCCACTCGGGTTGGTCCCCCAAAAAATGTAGGGAAAACACTGTTTTTGGGGGACTTGTGGGGGCCTTTTTTGGTGAATCAACCAGAGTGGAAATTTACCAATAGTACACTATTTCATCTTCCAGCCAGGATGAGCAAGACGAATCCTGCAACTGCCAAGCCCCTCGAAGAAAAGCTTCGTCAGAAGAAGTCGCTTGAACGAGGTGAGAACCCAGCCGCGCTACCAAGGGCATGATGGGAAATTTACTCATTTTGTGGAAATAATTTAAATAATAACTTTTTGACAATTATATTATTTCTCGGGGATTCTATCAATTAGGATTCAAACCAAGTTATATATTTATATACTGCATGTACCAACACCATTTGATCAAAACTTGGTGTTAAGCCTGTGTAATTTCGCAGTCCTTGGGAGAAGCTAATATAGATCTCAATCTTCAACTGTTGTTTCAAGTGTTGGGCCTCACTTGACATACTTGAAACACACTTGATAATTTTGGTATGCTATTCAATGGTTTGCGAAAGTTACAATCAGTAATTATATAATTTCCTTTTGCGACATACAGTGCATGATGTGGGAACATGTTGATCTGGGTAAGAAATATTTGCTATTGCACCATTTATTTATGCTTCCTGATATTTTTGAGACTGAACCAACGTTCAACAGCAACATTAAACCATGATCATAGTAGCGCCAACCTTGACGATATTTTATCGCAAAGCAAATGTGTTGAATGCTCTGACATGCATAGCCTTGCAATTGCGTGCATGACTGCACGTGGGTCATTCCAAAATACATATATACTATTATAGACCCATGGATATGTTTTTTGTCTTGCATAAAAAAGATGTCGACAATTCTCTATAATACTTATATACCCATGAACATTTCTCGATGTATTATTTCATAGAATTATATAGCCGTGAGGATATCATCATCCCCTTCTTTGAGCTGCCCAGCCTGACTCTCCAGGAATCAGCTCAGCATCCACGCTGCCTGCCACGGAGAAGGAGGTTGCTGAGTCACTTGGGAAATCAGGCCATGGGGGTGATGATGATGATGATCATGATACAACCCCACCACCAAAAAAACACAAAGTGGCTGGTGAAAATGAAGAGGACATTGCCTCTGCACCAAAGCAGCTTGCAAGGTCCCCCACATTGCACTACTCCCCGATAGAAGGTAAGGCGAAAGGACAGGAGATCGAGATGTCCGAAGCGGAGGAAACAGAAGAGCCGCCCCCGCCACCACCGAAGCAGAAGTCACAAAACAAAGTTGCGCAACCAGAAGAACAGAAGACTGAAAAGAAGACTGCGTGCAAACGAAGAGCTTCAAAGCCTGAAGGTCAAGAAGAAAAGAAAGACATGCCAAAGAAGAAGAAGAAGACGACAGAAACACAGCCTGATGAACAAGTGCCGAAACAAGTTTCAAAGCCACCGAAGAGTGCCAAAGATCCTGCAGCCAGTCTGCCTTCCCCGAAGCAGGAGCCCCCTTCCACAGATATTGCAAATGCAGTCAACTCATCGTTGGCCAGGGCTGCAACAGTAGATTTGCAGTCAGTGGCCGCACCACCAGAAATCGCGATGGGAAACGATGAACCTGATTCAGCAGATGGCAGCCCAGGTGATGAACCAGATCCAGAAGGTGTAACCGCACAGGAGGTTCGCCGGCGCAAAGAAGTTCATGCGCGATACATGCGCTTTTCAAGATCCCTCAAGAGCATCCTAGCTAATTTGAGTGCACTCTTTATAATTGTTTTATTTTGCGTGCGTGTACAATACAAACGGTATAACACACCGATTCCACACCGATATAGATTCTATGGATACTAAAATTTTTCGATATGACGACGACTTTATTACTTCAACTTGGTGTAATTATTATATTATCATCTCTTACTGAACTAGTAGATAATTAATCACTATCATTGGTTCCCTAAGTTTTGCTTTGCGGCGCTCAGGTCCGAAGACACCTCGTGAGATTCGTTTGGCCGGTGAAGCGGCATTCAGATGTGCCTCGAATCAACTTCTCACCATTATAATTATTATGTTGTGGAGGTTAGGATATTCTTTGGATGAATTCGAATTGACAAAAAGTTGGTTGGTAGATAAACTATGTGCATAGAATCACATGTGATATGCTGTACATGATGGACACATACATTTAAAAAAATGTATGTAATGTTATTATATATATATATATAGATCGACATACTTCACCCAATTACTTGTCCTTAACCCATGGTGCCGGCAGCCCAGGCAGTGATCGCCTACAAGTACTTTTTGAGCAGTATGTTACCTGTGGAGGCCATTGGGCTGAATCAAGCATCTACCTGCAGATGAAGATCGAAAGGCGTCTCCGAAAGACCGGGAGCCGTCGGTGGCTGACATGCCACGAAATTGCAATTAAGTACGGAAGCCAAGACGCAGCTGAGAAGATCGTGGCTGCCAAGGAAGCAGATGCAGAGACAGCAGCAACCCACATCCGTCCCCACCCAGATGCACCACACATCACCGACCCTTGAGTTGCGTTAGCATGAGTAGCTAGTATATATTCAATGGATTTGTTTAATATCCCTGTGAATGAATATCGAATCCTATCTTCACATTATGTTAGGTTGTGATATACATTCACGCACGCCAACCAAGGATATGAAGCAGTATCTTGTGTGGGATGCTGACAGCATTGAGGATACCACAGATGAGGTAACGAGCAACTTGTTCGCAGCGGTCGACCGTGACCGAGAACAGAAAGATGAAGGTGATAAGAGGCCAAAACGCAGCAAGACTCAGTCAAAGGATAAGAAGAAGAAAGGTAAGAATTCAAAGAAGAAGAAGAGTAAGAAGAAGAAGAGTTCATCGTCGTCATCGTCAAAGTCCGAGTCATCTTCTTCGTCGGATGGATCTGAAAGTTCTTCAGACAGTTCGGAAGCATGGCGAAAAAACTACATGTATATCTGGAACATCTACATGTTTCATATATCATGATCTTGATTTGTTTGATAGCTGGTTTTTCATAAAATCAAAATTGCAACCACTAGTCACTACTTTCCATTTTTTGATTCACAATATGCACAACATGCATGCAGATGGATCGGTAGACTATATGATGCAGCCTAGTATTGTAGTTATATTCAAGTTTGTTTTCAGCTGTTGTAATAAGGAGCCAGACAAGAAGAAGAAAAAGAAGAAAAGGGGAGCCCCATCCAAATCAAAGTCACCAGAGAAGAATCCCAAGCATGGCAAGGCCCTGAGTGAGGAGAAGCAAAGGGAAAAGAGAGAGAAAGAAGAACAGAAGGAGTTAGAGAAGAAGGCAAAGGAAGAGCTGAAGAAACGAATTACAAAGACGAACAAGGCCGATATGTTATCATGATTTGATATATCCTAGATTAGTATCACAATACTATACTATGTCAGCTCAGGATATATATATATATTATAAATATATATATATTAAATTTATATTATTATATTATATTAATTATAATTTATATCAAGCTTCCATTCCAATCTAGCCGGTGGCTTCAAGGTGGCCAACAAGATTCAGCAGCAGCTCACGAAAGCCTCGTCGGTCGAAGTGAAAGCCAGCACAATGCATGGAACCTCAGAAGTGACAACTGGATTCTAGATTGGGTGCATGCAGCCTGGTCACCAAACAAGGTCCTGATCTCTTAAACACTTTCATTCATTTTATACTTGGGCCATAAATTGTAATCCTCTGATAGTATCCAAAATAAAATATAATTTAACGCAAATGGATCCAGTAGTTTTGCTGGTTTGTCTTTATTGGCAGCAAGAAGACAGTCATGCTATCAACGTCCTAGAATTAGAAAATCAACACATGTTGTTCACGCCATTGACAGCAGTACTTATCCTGTATGGCCATGGTCAATCAATAGGAGGTTCATGTATATATATGTGTGTGTGAGTCACAATGTTTGTGTATATTATAATAGTATTAATAATAGTTATTTTGTTTCAATGTATAAATCATGTTATCAATTATCCAAACCAAGCATGTTTGTTTCCCGGTAGTTGTTCAGTACACTGCTTAGACTTTTTCCCATGTATTATATAATATATTTTTAATTCAAGGATGTCCGACCTCCCTACATGGGTGATTCCTGTGGACTTTGGGAAGCAAAACATACATGGCAACGGTTTCATGTTTATTGAACTATTGTGATCAATGTAAATGTGTCACATCATTTACTGAACCATTGCCCATTCAACAGGTCGTCACGATGTTGTTTTTACTTATATTAATTTATAATATATAATTTATTATAAATTTAGATATCGATATATTAGTATTTCACCAGTCCAATTATATATTCAGCCCGGCACAAACGATAAACAGATCAGATGATAGAGAATAATATAGAAGGGGGATACCGCTTCCATTTTTTTGCTGGTGCTGAGGTCTGCCAGTATGAAAAAGCCGTTCCTCCAGGAGTTCGGGCCCCACAAGCAGGCGTTGGAACACCACAGGGATGCGTTGTCGAAGATCATCGCCCGTGTCAAGGCAGGTGGCGGCAAATTGGGGGTCAAACATTTAGAAATCAAACTGCCTTTTGTAAACAAGGTGTCCTTTTGATTTTTTACATGCATGCATGCACTTGGTTTCCCTTCGAATCAATTCGTTCTCATTCAAAACCTTGTTTTGGTTTGCCCCAGCTTTATTCCGAATAACGATCCAGCCTATAAGCCCATAGCATGTATGACCAATTAATGGTTGAGACACACATCATAACTTGATCATTGAAAAAAAATCTTGATAACAAACTTATCAGCTGGATGATCCGGTAATGATAACGAATTAGATTTCATGATGATGAGTTAGCTACCAACAGCTACCAAAAGTGCACGAAGCACACAAAAGGCACAATGACTTGAGCGCAATAAGGGCAAAATGACTTGAGCCCCAAAATCGGTAGCACCCTCCGCTAACTTTACGTTCTGTCGAACTGACAATTATTAAATACAATTTTAAGGCACCCTATATAATATTATAATTAATATATATTTATTTATAATTATACATACCCTGACATATTATATACACTGGACAGTGGTACATATACCCCAGGCCAATATACACCCTAGATCTATATCTAGATCTATATATATATATATATAGCCCCAATCACTGACCCAACGCTGGTATTTGTGTGCCCCAGCCAGGTCAACTCTGCCGTGTCTGATCTCGAACAGCCTGAGCAGGATGCTGAACAAGCGATCTTGGAGTTCCAAACCTTTTTGATCAACAACAACGTGAAGTGATGTGCTTTCTTTGCCAAAACCGATTGGCATTCTAGGTGGTTTTGGTTTCCCATGCCTACTGAGCCCTACTTGGTAAATGCCGAAGCGCGTTGCCTTAGGGGTGTAGGGATAGCAGTATGGCCAGGGACCTGAGCTGACCTATCAATCCTGACCCGATGAGCCACACCAAGGGTTGAAGAAACCTATGACCGTCAACATCATAAGTGGTGGAATGATAGAAGCAGTTCAAAGATTTGATAGACATCATCATTTTATTTTTGTTTACCCATGGGCCCAAGTTACTTTAATGATCTATGGCCTTTGGTGTGTGGATATGTGCCGGGGTAGCCGGGGTATCAAGGATCTTTTGGATTCATGTCAAGGATCAGCGTATGCCAACATCGCAGCTGGATTAGATGCGTGATCACTGCTGCCAAAAAAAAATCCCGACCGTGCATCCACATGGTGTCATCGTCGCACAGTGTCGTTTGATAATAAAGAGTCTAGCATTTTTCATAATGATCCTGATTTATTTGATGGTCTGATTGATGATCTTACTTCCCAGATTGTCACCGTATATATAAATTATATAATAATAATATATATAATTTATAGCACGGATAGCAATGATTGACTCATTCTGACCCCGCAGGTGCTAGATCGACGGTTCAGAACAACTCTGTGATGGAAAATGCTATTGAGGATGTCAGCTCTGGAGCCCCTTGGCGCACCGTACCGGGGCTTGTTACCGAATAGTTCCGCTCAGCATATATATTATATATATACTTGATCATTATCAATCAAAGTCCTTTGTTCTTGATGGTAGTTCCGGATGTTAATAATGATGATTATGCTCTTGATCCATGATAAATTAGATCATGAACAATGCTAATGATGAGCAATATATATAAATTAAGGTCTTGATCCATGATATGATTAAGATCATAATTTTGCCACTTTTGGTGAACAATGGGTTTAAACCAGGGTATATGACAAACCAATATACCACAATTCAATGTCAGCTGGTTTTAATCAAAACACGGTATCGATCTGGCTAATCTGGCATAATTAATGGGTCGTAGATTTTGTGTTATCCGCCCGCTGCCCGCTGAGTCTCTCTCCATCGGCAAAGCGATGAAGAATGTGAGGTCACATGTGAAGGAGCCTTGCGGACACAGCTGAGGGTCTGGAGGGTCAGGGTGGCCAACCATATATACCATCCGATCCATATGCATATATATATATTATATATATAATATATGTCATCATGAATAACTTATCATCAATGTGGATTGAATTTGTACTTTGAGACTTGTACCTGTTAATGTTTGACCTACATGGGTTGAGTGCATGCATGCAACATCATATTTCTTGATTTTGCAAACCCGGTCAATTAATTGGTAAATGATGTGGTGTAGCAGCATGCATGCTGGCTGCTCAAACATTATTTGAAAATGAGTGGTTAAGATTAAAAATCTTATTGCTAATGGAACCATCTTAAGCGTTAAAGGGTAAGTTTAACCAACATCTTACTGGGGTTACAGTTTAAAATCACAAGCCGATTTAATTAAGGCTTGCCTTCCATCAAAATTTAAATTGAAAAGTATATGTTCCCCCGATCCATATTGCTCTACCAGCACATTCCTGCGCTATATGCATCACATTATCTATATATGCATCGATGCCTGGTTTTATATTATATGTTCATCAGGAGCCATTGTATAGATACGCAGCGCTTATATAAATATACTTTTTATATATACTGTCCAGTCTGGAATATACAAATCATTTATCTATCGCATATGCATCAAACCAATATCCCGACATCCATCCAGGAGAGTGGTGGTGCTGCCCATCCTGACAGCGTAAAGCTGGGCTCCAGGAATCCGATGAACAACAACGATTCCAGAAACTTTTGGAATGCCCACAAGATCCCTGTTGTGGCTGGGCCTGGTAAGATTGAAGGTCTGCTTCGTGAATTGCCTTTGCTCGGGCTGGGCGCCGTGCTTGGTGCAATATCGAAGAACAATTTACCATGTAATATTCTGGATCAGGGAAACCCATTCTCAGATAGATAATTCCAATGTTCATCTCCAAATCAAAGTGAGTGCAGGCCAAATCAACCATCCAAATGAAAAGCTAGCTAGGCTGTCATGTACCGCTAATGCTGGCCACCATTCAGAACTGATGTGAAATCGAACATTGCAAAGGAAGGGTTGGTCCCCAAAGGCCATTAACAATTCAATTTGGGGTGTGTATATACCTTATTGACCAGCGGCATCCAATCATGGCCAGAATATTGATGATTTCAGACCCAAATAGGTGACACAAGCTACGCCATGCTGACTCCTAAAACAACAACTTGAGATTGGTTATTGCAATTGGTATTTGTTCTTCCTATGGACCTTTACAGGCTTTGATTTCACCGCCATCACCATCACCATCATCATCACCATCACTATCATCATCACCACCCCATCATCATCATCATCATCATCATCATCATCATCATCATCATCATTACCACCATCATCATCATCACTACCCTCAACATTATCACCATCATCATCATCATCAGCATCATCATCATCATCATCATCATTATCATTATCATCATCATCATCACCATCATCACCATCGTCGTCATCATCATCATCATCACTCGTCTCATCATTACCATCATCATCATCATCATCAGCAGCAGCAGCAGCATCAGCATCACTATC